TGCCAATTATTGAAAATTATTCAAACTTAAGGTTTGTTTTACTAAATAGTTAATAGATTTCAGTATTTATACTGTATTAATATAATGTTTAATGTTTTTCCCATCCAATATAAATGGAAATAAAATTAATAATAAATATGTTTTCAGTTATAAACTACATATATTAAAGTATGACATAATTTCAGTCCTACAAAACAATGGTGTATTGAGTATGAAGTATTTGTACACAAAGGTATTGTATATTTATGCAATTTACATTGATTATTATTAAATAAATACAATATAAGCGTATAATCAATAATAGATTTAGTATCATTAATACCCTACTCATTCAGTAATAGATTATTATATTATTTTAGATTGTTTAATTATTATAAACAATATTAATGTAATATTCTACATTTACAATTACTATAATTATCTTTACAGTTATTTCATATGATTATGTGGTTACATGTGATTGATGAAAATAGATATAAATTGTTTGACTTTGCTCATTTATCTGTCGGAAGATATTCATCTATATTATATTCACCGGAAACACCGCGAGTTTCAACGGATACATTGAGAATATTCCGTATTTTGCCTGTTCATATTTGGTTACTTATATTTGTTTCATATTTAAGTTTAATTGTTTTCAATTCATTCAAAACGCCAAAAATCCTTATAAAATGCAAACTAAGTTTTGATTATTTTGGAGCATTTTTGTTTAAAAGTGAGAAATATTTATTGATATAAATTTATTTTGTAATAATTTGATTATTACATTATATTCACATTGCTTATAAATTTATCCAAAAGGTTTGGTAATAAGAAGTTATCACTCGAAGTACTTGCTATCGATTTGGTTATTCATGTCATTTGTGGTCATCAATGTTTTCACGAATGACATCCGATCTATGATTATACTCACCAAAGAGGATGTCATCAAAAGTATGGATCAACTCATGGATAGAGATGTGAATATTTTTATGCAAAAAAAAAGTTATGAATATACAACTATGAAAAATGTAACTAAAAATCAATTTAATATTATTATCATATAATTGTTATAAAACTGATATCTATTTTGTTAACAATCGTGGCATTTAATACGAAGGTTTAATATCACACTTAAACCATTCATAGAGTTGTCATCCGTTAAAGCTATACTACAGTTGAAGTACAATCGGAGTGTCATTATAGGCAACAGTGAAACGACATATACTTTAATGAATCTCTATAATGAGTACCGTTTGCGGCGAACCAATGGAAATGGATCTATAATATTGATGGGAATACCCATTCATAGGGGTCTAAATCATACCATCAAACGACAACTCAATAAATTGTAAACTAATTGATATTTTTGATATAAACAAACAGATTACTGTTATTTATTATTATAATTTATAATATTTTTACTAATATGATTTACATTGCTAATAGATTCACGCGATTATATCACTCATCAATAATCATGCACAAATTTAACAAGAACCAGTTATACAATAAAATAAATTATGCCAAATTGCATATCAGTGAATCCCACTGGTTCAATGTAGAAAGTTCATATAATTTTACTCTCAAAAATATTTTATTTATAGTGGTTATATCAATTATATTTTTAGCTACTTCATTCATAATGTTTGTAATGGAATTATTGTGTTCTATTGGCTTTACTGTATAAATAATTTTTAATAAAAAATACTATTTATAATATAAGGGTTTTCATAATATATGTCAGGTAACTTATGATTAGTAAAAATAGGTTTATTTTGGAACCAGATCATTTAAAATTAAACTATTAAAATCCCAACTTTGGTTTTTCAAGATAAATATTATCCTGAAGTCAGAGCTTAATTCGAGCACCGGTATGTCAGCACAGGTAGTTTTTGTAAAATACGCAATAATTCAAAAAGTATAAGGGTGATTTCGACAAACGATCCAGCGTTCAAAAGAGTATTAAAAAGTAGGAAATACAACAAAAATTATTTTACCCTGATACCAGTAATTGGAAATAGGGAAGCTCTAAACATTAGAAATTTGTAAATAAAATTATTTATAAATCTTGTTTTAAAAGAAATTAAGTAAATTGTAAATATACATATTATAGAAAATTATCAAGGTGATTATAGAAAAATATTAACAAGCTCATATGTAGTTTGGTAATTTACCACACAATTGCATCGCCATATGTATCAATATATTGCAATGTGTTTCAAGGGGGAAGGGAATATGTATTGAGCTGGCTGATTCATATTAGTACGTAATTTTAAGAGAGAGGGAGGGAGGGAGAGAACGAGAGAAGGGGCGACTTCAAATTATTTCGGCTTCATATAGATTGCCCCCTAATGATTACAAAACGTATGCAAAGTAAACAATGAATAGTAGATCGCCCAGGTTTGCCTTAAACAGGCAGTCACCATTTAATGATTGGAATATAAGAATTTTCTTATTCAATATGAAAATACTTTCAAAGAGGAGTCCAAATATCTTATTTATATTGTCCTGTGACCTCGGGTTCGACCGGAGTGACCATTTTTATCGGGAAATGTTTCCGATATAAATATGGACATGTGAGATATCAATTTGGTAGAGAATTTTACACTATATATGATGGATTAAATAAGAAATTAGAAATTCCTAAATTTAAAAGAAATATTGTGATTTTTCACATTTTTCATCACTAATTCGACATTATATGCATGATTACTCAGGTTTATAATTTTTTTACATATATCGAATTCTCAATTAAAATCTCTATTGAATTGATATATCACATGTCAATATTTATAACGGAAACATTTCCCGATAAAAGTGGTCACTGCGGTCGAACCCGAGGTCACAAGACAATATAAATAAGATATTTGGACTCCTCTTTGAAAGTATTTTCATATTGAATAAGAAAATTCTTATATTCCAATCATTAAATGGTGACTGCCTGTTTAAGGCAAACCTGGGCGATCTACTATTCATTGTTTACTTTGCATATGTTTTGTAATCATTAGGGGGCCATGTATATGAAGCCGAAATACTTTGAAGTCGCTCCTTATGTCGGTTGTAAGTTGCATACCGGCGCCTATTCAATATTACGTACGATCTGAACGAACAAATAAATACACGTTGCTTCCCCCACTTGAAACACACTGATATATAGCATGATTATTTACGAAACAAATGCATCGCGATACGTGTCAATTTATAGCATGGTTATTTTTATTAAGTAATTTGGATTAAAACAAAAATTTTATTTTGAATTCATTTGATTTCTTATTAATTTTTATATTAAAAAATTTTATAAATGATATATTTTATTCAAAATAATTTCCTTCATTTTCAATCACTTTTTGCCACAATTGTTGCAACACTTCTCAATCCCACGTCGATACCAATCACTCGATTTAGAATTAAAGAATTCATCCAAACAATTATAAATTTCATCCTGATCATTAAACGTTTTGTGGTCGAGATGTGACTGAAGGGAACAGAATAAATCAAAATCTGATGGAGCGATGTCTGCACTGTATTCCGGTTGAGGCATTGGTTCCCAACTAAACGATTTGATTGTTTCAATGGATATTTTGGCAACATGTGGTCTAGATAGAAAATTTAAAACAAAGCAACTTGTTAAATTATATGTATTAGTGTTTAATAATATAATAACCGGGCGTTGTCCTGGTGGTACACATCACCGTTTTCTGGTCAACAATTAGAGGTCGCTTTTCGATCACAGTTTTGTGCACACGTTTCAGTTGTTCACAATACACTTCTTTAGTAATCGTCTGATTATCAGGTAATCATTCAGTAAATTACACCCAAACATCCCAAACATGCCACCACACAGAGCATAACTTTCTTAGGATGGAAACCAGGTCTGTCTGTCGGTATGGGTGCCTGTCCTTTGGAAAGCCATTGTGGTTCGCGTCAAACATTAACATAAAGGACCCACTTTTCAGCACATGTTATAATGTTTTCGAAAAATGGTTGGCATTTCTGGCAAGATTTGCAGCACAAATAAACAAATGGATGACCGGTTATTGCGATTAATATCGGACAGAATATGAGGAACCTATCGGCCGACACGATAGGATTTGCCGATTTCATGGAGATATCTGGTTATGGTGGGGACAGAACATTCAAACTTGTCCGCCAAACACCCGGCCGATTGTCGGTCACCTCAATAGTTCTTTGAGAAGTGTGTTGTTTATTACAGAGGGTCGACCAGTATGTGGTGATCACTGATCGAAATGTCCGGATCTAAACCGCAAACTATCGATAGCACGTCCTCTCATCCAAAACACTTGCAAATGTTTTCAATATATTAGCTGTTGCTTCAGGAACAGTATGTCCTCATAGTCACAACTCATAGAGAATACATGTGCGCACTGTATGTCGATCTGATGGCGATTCTGTAAATTGAATATAAAATCTATGACAAAACTCTTTTGACTAGATTATTTAAATTAAATATATGTTAGGATTGAGCTAGAACAAAATAAAATTTTTTGCAACTATTGTTTTTAGGGACCATTACAACCATATGACCCTTTCCATCCAGATGTGAAGGGAACGGTATGGGGAATGGGATGTTGAGATCACAAAAACTATAAGAGATATTAAAGTTCTGATTTTTGGAAATGATGCGCAAGGTCAATCCTAGAAAAGTAATTTCTGGATTTGTCGAAATTTTACTCCGTTGATTTTTAAAAATTCCCTAAATGTCAAAATTTGTCATTTTTAGGCGTAGTTATCTCAGCAATGGGTCAATGTATTTGGGTTCTCTCAGCAGGGTTCGAAAGATCTTTCAAAATACTAAAAATCATTTGCTGGCACGAACAGTGTACCAAGATCAACAAACCCTCTATTCTACAAATCAATATTTCCTATGTTGAAAGATCTTTCAAAATACTAAAAATCATTTGCTGGCATGAATAGTGTACCAAGATCAACAAACCCTCTATTCTACAAATCAATATTTCCTATGTACTTTATTTTTACAGGTAAAGGTGTAAAACAATAAGATTAATTAATTAAGTGATAAATTAATTGCATAGGAAATATTGATTTGTAGAATAGAGGGTTTGTTGATCTTGGTACACTATTCGTGCCAGCAAATGATTTTTAGTATTTTGAAAGATCTTTCGAACCCTGCTGAGAGAACCCAAATACATTGACCCATTGCTGAGATAA